TGTCTCTAGGTGGAGAACAGACTTTCCCCCAGGACACCCTTCACTCTCGCCTACCTGTTCCTTGGGCCCCCTGGACCGTCCGCACAGAGCTTCACACAGCGCCTCCCAAGGGCTCAGGCTGGGCCATGTGCAAGGAAGCACGGTGTGCTGGCTCACAGTTGTCCATACCACCGCCTTTCTTTCTGAGGTGCCCTGCAGATCGAAGCCTTGCACCCCCTGCTGACTTATCTCAGTGCCTGGGACACAGTGCTCTTTTTCCCTGTGTAAAAATGGACCTTGGTTTTCTGAGTGTAAATATAACGCATGGTGCTTCTTCATCTTATTGTACAGCAGGTGCCCTCTGTCCACACTGCATGAGTGCCATCTAGGTCACAGCCAGAAGTGCTGACCAGATAGCTCCGGGTGAGTGCTGGCACTTGAGGCAGCCATGCCTCTTCCTGCCAGGGGGCCCTGCTATGTAGCTGGTTGGCAGGAGTCCTGGGAGCCACCATGGCCTTCAGAGTATAACTTGCTCTTCCCACTGGGCTTGGTCGGATCCCTTCCATGGGGCCTCTTCATGTGTGCATGCGCCCTGGCTCTGGTTGCCAGGCCTCACCAGCTGTTCCACATTTCCTCAGATGCCCACTGATGCCCAGGCCACCCTGTGGCTGTTCCACCTTGGACACGGCTCCAGGCCTCTCATGCTAGGATTCTACCAGGCGCTATGTCTGCAACCGGCCCTGGATCCGGAGGCCCACCCCAGCTTCCTCCTTGGACAAGATGGCAAGGTTCCCAGCATGCCATGTCTGGAGCAAGCAGAGCGAGCCGGCCTGTGGCCTGTTGCTGTTCTGACATCTACCCTGGGGGCCCTCCCTGCTGAACCCCTTCACGGACTGGGAATGGCCACATCTAAGCTAGAAGGGCTTTCCTCCCTGTGCTGCCCGTCAGCAACCCATGGAGATTCCTCTCCACCTCACACCCCTGCTTCTATCACCTTCTCTTACTCTTGCCATGGACTAACTAGGCTTTCTTTTATTCTCCAAGGATCCAGTGCAAACCACTCTCGGATAATAAAGATGGCAAACACTTACTGAACTCTGACCATGTAAAGCGTGTTCTGGGCACCTTACCTGTGTTGCTCCAGTTTGAAACATGGTTATCTTTGTTTTACATGTGAGTCAACTGAGCCAGCCATAGAACTAAGGGACTCGCCCAGTTGTACCACAAGTGAGTGACAGCCGAGGGCACTGATTATAGCCCATGCTCCTTACCACTCGCTCACCCTGAACCACCATTGCAGGCTCCTGGGCACTTGAGCTCCCAAATGCTTTCCCAGTTCAGGCCCTACACTTCTAGAATCTTCTTGACGTTTGTCTCCTTATCTGGTCCTAACCCCCACGTCTTCTGTCTTGGTCTGGGCTCTCGTCCTGTTGCCTTCAGCCTGGTGGTGGCAGGGAGGGACTAACCAAAGACTGCACATTTGCCTTGGGTTGTCTACAAAGTGCATAATCCGTGTGCACGTAGTTGAGAGTTGGCTGAAAAATCCAAGTCAGGATTTCCTTGAAGGCCCATTTTCTGGGTCGTCTCCGACCTTCCTCTCCAGGCCCATCCTGCTGTGTCAGCTCTGCTCTGTAGCCACCACTCCTGACCCCGGCCACAACTAAAAGAGGCGTCTAGACCTACCTTCCCTCCCTGCCTCTGCAGCCAGGTCCCCTGGGGTCTCTGCACCCATAATGACAGCTGGCTCCTGCGTCAGTAAATGCTGCAGCGTGTTTGATTGTCAGCCTTCCAAACCAGGCCCAGTGCTGGGGACCAGCAGGGTCACCTTCTGAGGATGGGTTTGTGGCCTCTGAAGAGCCTCTTGACAGCCTTAGCCTCCCCTCACTTAGCCCACATCAAGCAGCTGGGTTATAAAGAAGGGGAACTTGCTATTTAGAAGGGAATCAGAGAGCTGTCAGCAGGACATAAATATTCATAGAGGGAGGTTAGAACTTGAGTCCCTAAAACCTTGATTTGTGTTCCACCATTTAAGCCTCATTAAAAAGTGGCAAATGAAAGTGGGAATATTCAGCGGAACTGCAGATAAATTGGGCTTGTTCAGATAAAGGCCCCGACTGTCAGCTCTGCAGGCTCTGCCCAGAGCATGATAGCAGATTGGCTTGGCCACTTGTGGTTTGCCAACCTCAATTTTAAGATTTTGCTTAGCATGAGTTCCTGGCCTTGCTCTGGGGGCAATTACTACTTGTTTGGGTACTTGGTAGCCTTCCAGAGGTGTTCTGGGATGGAAATCCCCAACCTGCTCCCTCCCCAGAATGACATGCAAACCAAGGCCTGGCTCAAGGGCTTCAAGGAGAAATCTCACCTAAGAGGACGGCTTGCATTGGGCAGTCTGCAAAGTGCATAATCTATGTGCATGTCTAGTTGCTTCTCCTCCTAGCTTTTTCTAGCTTCTGTGGACATGAGGGATGGTTTCAGACTCCAGTTACTACGTGAGACCTAAACCGTCTGTCCCAGCCCCTCAGTCCCACCCATGCTCAACTCCACTCATTGTGGCTAAAATACAAAGACTGTAGCAGGCCAGGCCTTGTGGTGAGCACAAAGAGGAGACAGATGGCCACCGTTCCTTCTAGGACAGAAGATTTGGACTCGGGAATTTGCCAGGACCAGGCAGGTCACATATATAAGTGGAATGGGCCTATCTGTGGACTAGACCTGGCCTACGGGCTGCCAGTTGGTACTATCTAGAGACCCCTAGAGTTTGAGAAGATAAGATTTGGACACACACAGGAGGGCAACAAAGAATATATTCTGGGCCGGATGTGGTGGCTCATGTCTGTATTCCCAGCACTTTGGGAGGCTGAGGCAAGTGGATCACCAGAGGTCAGGAGTTCAAGACCAGCCTGGCTGACATGGAAACCCCATCTCTGCTGAAAATACAAAAAGAATTATCTGTGGCAATGTGCTCCTGTAATCCCAGCTACTCGGGAGGCTGAGGCAGGAGAATTTCTTGAACCTGGGAGGTGGAGGTTGTAGTGAGCCGAGATCACACCATTGCACCCCAGCCTGGAAACAAGAGCGAAACTCCGTCTTAAAAAAAAAAAAAATTATAACAGGCCGGGCACAGTGGCTCATGTCTGTAATCCCAGCACTTTGGGAGGCCAAGGCGGGTGGATCACGAGGTCAACAGATCGAGACCATCCGGTCAACATGGTGAAACCCCGTCTCTACTAAAAATACAAAAATTAGCCGAGCATGGTGGCACGTGCCTGTAATCCCAGCTACTCAGGAGGCTGAGACAGGAGAATTGCCTGAACCCAGGAGGCGGAGGTTGCGGTGAGCCGAGATTGCACTCCAGCCTGGGTAACAAGAGCGAAACTCCATCTCAAAAAAAAAAATTATAACAAGAAAAAAAAGTGATATATACACACACGCGCACACACACATATTTGGCCTCGTTGACTGGTTAATTTGCCAGAAGGAGGTTGGAACGCACCCACCACCCCCCAACAGCCAAGGGCAACAGAGAAGCCTGGTGGAGGCGGTAGGGCATCAAGAATTAAGCTGTATTTGTGCCCCTGAGTGGGATCTGGTTCCCTGATTGTGGTTTCTACACCACAGGAAACAGTCTCAGGGTGCTATGGGGCTGGGCTGTGTGTGCTGGGGGTGCTGCTGTAAAGTGGGAGGCACGTGGTGGCCTGAGGCACTGGCATGGGGCTGTGGCTCTTCCCTGAGCCTGCCTTCATTTCCCTGCCACACAGGTTCCAGGAAGGGACAGCCCCATCTTCTGGCTGCGTCTGTTTCCCAGGACAGCCCTCCCTTTGGGTGCCCATTAGCAAAAAAATGACAGTTAACCAGGCAATTAACTCAAGGCTCTGCAGTTGCTCCGTCCCACAGGGCCTTGTTTATGGGGCTGGAGGGCAGGGGGTGGATGGTTTGTCACTGCCAGGCCTCTCTCGGGAAGAAGGAAAGTGGTTGACGTGGAAGTGGCTGAGACGGGTGTTGGCCAGGGAGAGAGGCATAAGGTCCAAAGACTTGGAATGCGACTCTCTTACACCCGGCCCCAAAACGCCTGCCATCCTCTGACCAGCCGTCCGTCCTGGGAGGCAGGGGTCTTATCTGCAGTCATTGATTACTGAACCTGCGGGGGGTTCACACCAGAAGTGAATCGAGCAGAGCACTGGCTGAGACTGATAGGGAGAGGGGTGCCCCACCCCGACTCCTCAGAAAGTCATTCCCTTTGGGGGACCACCCCCATTCTACCATTCCTGAAACAGAGGTCTTACTTGCCATGTCTCCTAGGGAAGTGGTGAGAGTGAGTGAAGTCAGATGGGAAATGGAGCATTATGCAGCTCCAAGGCACTAGCAGTCAGCTGCTGCGAAGGCCACAGAGCCCCCGAACCTTTCCACCCACTGACACCCAGGGTCACCCTAGCCAGGGAGGTGGTGGGCTAAAGACCTGGAGCCTGAGTCAGACACAGGGAAATGGACTTTTTTTTTTTTTGAGGATGGAGTCTCTCTGGCTGGAGTACAGTGGCTCACCGCAACCTCTGCCTCCCAGGTTCAAGCTATTCTCCTGCCTTAGCCTCCTGAGTAGCTGAGATTACAGGTGCATACCATCACACTCGGCTAATTCTTTGTATTTTTAGTAGAGATGGGGTTTCATCTTGTTAGCCAGGATGGTCTCGATCTCCTGACCTTGTGATCTGCCCTCCTTGGCCCCCCCAAAATGCTAGGGTTACAGGCATGAGCCACTGTGTCCGGCCAGGAGATGGACTTTCAATGCCAAATGCATGGTGCCAAGACCCAGGTTTGGACAACCCAGTCCAGTGTGTTATAAAACATTTCCCCACTACTCAAATATTTCCCCAAGAACACATCTCTGAAACTAATCAAAACAAATGGAAAAACATAACTTTTTTGCCACCTGGATGATAGGCAAAGTTTTTACTTAAGAACCAAATCAGAAAGGAAGAAAGGTGTTTTTGGGCATTTTTCTCAGTACTTTTTATTGATTCTTACAGAAAAATGTATATTTTTACAACTTGGACTGTTATTATGACAAAGTGTGTCAATGAGAAAAACACCTCTGCGTTGCCCCTAGATGTCTGATCACCTGGCCCCACACGTGTGGAGTGTTTGGAAGCCAGAATTTCCTCACGGCGTCTCCGTCACTCTAGGATACGTTCGTGGGGCAGGTGCGTTCTGTGTTCAGGGCTCTAGTTGTTCCTTTTGTGGACCCAACTGGGGCATCATGCTGGGGAGACAGCAGACCAAGGGGCTGCTCCTCTCCACCCCCAACCTGTGCTTGACCCAGAGGGTCAGGACAGCTGTGATACCCTGGGCAAAACCCAACTCTGTTTCCAGCGTGGTTTAGGACACTGTCCTGTGCAGCTCAGAGCTGAGCCATGGAGGCAGAGGACAGCAAAACAAAGACACTCCAGGGAAGATGGGCCTGGGTGCTCTGCCCTGCCAAAACCAATCAGGGGGACACCTGTCCAAGAAGACTCCTGTAGGCCCTGCTTCCTGGTCCCAGTGTTTTGAGAGCTGAAGGCTCAGCAGCCCACCTCTCTTTGGCCTATGTTTCAGATCGATGGGCTAGAGAAGAAGCTGTCCCAGTGTCGGAGAGACCTAGAGGCTGTGAATTCCAGGCTCCACAGCAGGGAGCTGAGCGCAGAGGCCAGGTAATGCTCCTGCCCAGCCACGCCACCCTTCCCATCAGGCCCCCACCCCTTGTCTCTATCTTAGGTACCCAAAGTAACTGGGCCTGAGGCAGAGGGGTTTGGGTCTCTGACATCTTAGCTTCAATGCCACCCTCAACAAGACTTAAGCCCCGCCAACCTAGCATGCCAGCTGCTGCTCAGGTGGGGAAAAGGGTTTGGGCCATAAAACTCCTTCCCCTTCACAGGAGGTCTCTGGAGAAGGAGAAAAACAGCCTAATGAGCAAAGCCTCCAACTATGGTAAGAAAGTTCCTTTCAGTTACCAGCCCCAGCCTCCAGTGCCCAGGGCGGGAAGGGATCAGAAGCCCAAGGAGCCTGACAAGGCAGGAGGGTCCTTTGTGAGGGAGCCAGCCCCCAGAGGCTGCAGACATGCTAGGCCCAGCCGCCTGCAGGAGAGCAGGTTTGTTCCTTTGTTCTAAGGAAGGATGAGACGGCCTGTGGGTCTGTCTGCTCTTTGGGATGAAGGGATGTTGCCGTGGCCAGGTCTAGAAGACACTCATTCACCCAGACATTGGAAGTCTGCCCTCCCCCTACCCCAGTGCAGCCTACCCTGCCACACTCTCCCAGGAAAACCGTGCAATGAAAGTGATGGGTAAAGGAAGCTGAACCTACCACTTGGGTACCGCAAGGGCTCCTGTGGGTGGAGTGATGCTGCCACCTTCTGGGCGCTGGGGGCAGAGGCAGGTAGAGGCCAGGCCAGGCGGGCTGCTAGAGGGCAGCCTGGTAGGCTGGTGGGCTCCCCGCTAAAGGCTGAGGAGGACCGTAGTCTAAGGTGCTCCTCAGATTTGTCTGTTCTGTTCTCCCCTGGGGGGCCAGGCCTGGCCAAGAATTGGCCCAGGAAGGCTCTGATGGCAGAAAGCCCCCAGAAGCGCTGGTCTGATGAATGCCATAGGTGCAGTGCATACCCATGCACCCTGCCTGGAGTTCAGCATGGCTGGGCCTGTGCACCCTGGGCCCTGGACTCCGTCTGGCCTGCCCAGAGCAGCTCAGCAGGTGTCTCCTCCCACTGCCCAGCACAGACAGGGGTGGGACATCAGTTTCCCTTCAAGTTTAGCAGTTTTCACACAAAACCATACCACTACTCAATTTAGCCCTCACAGAGTACCTTCTACCTGCATGTCACCTGGAGGGGATAATTAGGTACAAGTGGGGCCACAGAGTAGCAGGACTAATTTCCTCTAGAGTCAAGACCAGCTGCCTCACGGACACAAACTGCCTCTTAGCATCTCTAGATTCTGCTCAACTGGGCACCTGACAGAGGGCAGGGACTCAAGAAACAGCCCCACCTGGCACCTACTCCACCTTCGGGCCCTCAGTTTCTGGTTGCTGGATGATGGGCACTACACACCCAACCCCTTGAGAGGCGAGCAGACTCACCTGGCGATGTCACACCACCTCCTAGCCTGGCTTTCAGGTGTGGCATTTTTGGTGACTCCACCCACCTCATCCTCAACCTCAACCACATTTAATAAGCAATAGTTGAGCAGCATTGGGCATTGGGATTTTATTAGGCTGGTTCTGTATAGCAAAAGGGTGTGTCAGGATTTGGGCAGATTAAGGACAGGGTCATTTTTATGGGTGGGGAGGTGGCTGGAAGGGGGCGTCTCTGCCCTCAGCAGTGTGTACCCCACTCATTGGAAAGGCAGAGAAGAGCAGTGGATGGGCCTAAACTGCCAGTCCCATTCCTATCACCCTCTTTCCTCCCAGAGAAGGAACTGAAGTTGCTTCGGCAAGAGAACTGGAAGAACATGCTGCTCTCTCTGGCCATCTTCATCCTTCTGACACTTATCTATGCCTACTGGACCATGTGAGCCTGGCACTTCCCCACAGCCAGCACAGGCTTCCACTTGGCCCCTTGGTCAGGGCCAAGCAGGCACTTCAAGCCTCAACAGGACCAAGGTGCTAGAGCATCCCCCTCCTGGCTTCCTGGTGGCCCAGCCCGCCTTGCCTCCCTGGCCTACTGGGGGGGGGTTCTGTATCTCCGGAAGGACATGGTGGCAATAAAGAACTCCAAGCTGCTTCTGTCTGGTGAGTAAATGTCATGGTCTGACTAGCTGGGAGTGGGGGGATGGGGTAGGAGGGGGTGGCAGCAGCAGGGGTGGCACTCGGGAATTAAGAAGAGATGTTCAAGGGAAAGCTCTAGCTTACAATTCAGAGGAGAGGAGGAGGCCCCCAGCTTGAGTGGGAAGTAAGCAGATAGTGGGAAGCACTTTCCAAGGCTAGCAGTGGGAGTCACTTCCAGGGCTTGGGGACTGCCGGGGCTGAGAAGCAGACATTGTGCCACCTGTCCATCCCCCTACCACACACTGTCATACCCTCCAGTCAGTGCCACTGCCTGTAATTATGGCAGAAAAAATGCAGTCTGCAGTGAAGGCGGCTTGGGGACTTGAAGTGGTCATGTGGTGATCCCAGGGGAGTGCGGAGTTAATCCATCTTCGACAGGCAGGCAAGGCTGGGGAGGCTGCGAGTGGGCAGCAGAGTCATGGTAATGACCAGACAGACTTACTGTGGCCAGTAAATCAGGTGGGGTTTGTAGTAAGAAGCAGAGGTAGGGCTGATCAGAGGGGGAACTGTGGCAGGAGCAGCAAAGTCAGACGTGCCCCTTATCCCTCCATCCCGCAATTCTAACTCCTAGCTTGGGAATAAGGAGGGGAGCAGGTGGGAGGCTGCAGCAAGGCAGAACAGAGGAAGGGCATGGAAGGCTGAGATGAAACCAATTAAGTAGGAAAAACAAGGGAAGGAGTTGCCTCCGGAAGCTAAGGCCATCCACAAAGGACTCAAGGCCAGGATGAGGAAGCCCAGCAAAGTGCAGGTGGATTTTGTGGGGGAACCAGTACCAGCGTGCTAACTAACTGGTGGAGAAACCACCTGGGAACAGAGAGGGAGGTGCCTGCTGTATCTGCATCCCCCACCCTCAGGCACAGCCCCCCTCCCCCGCTTCCTCCCACCCACTGCAGACAGAACGAGCCCTCCACGGAGGGAAGGCAGGCTAGGGTCAGTGAAACCATCTCTCCCTCCCCTCTTTGCCCGCCCCCCAGTCTAGTGACACTAATTGGTCTGACGCCTCTGTTATTTTAGTCACACAGACTGATCCTGGACTGTCACAGTGCCACCACAGAGTGAGCTTCGTGATTTATGTAAAGGGGGAAGGTGTCTCTGCCCTCCCAGGGCTGTATGTTCATTCATTCTGCAGTCCCTGCTTCTAACAGGGGCAGCATAATTTTCCCCAACTCTTCTTTAGGCCCCTTCTTGAGCAGCAAGCAGCAGGCCTGGGAGCCCTGCAGGGCCCCAGAAGCTTGGACAGGCTTGGATTAAACAAACCCTCTTTTCTCTCCTCTGAGTAGAGCTGCCTCCCCTTCACCTCTGGCCCAAGCTGTTTCATCCAGGCCAGTCCCAGACCACAAAGCACTGAGGACAAACAACAGCAGCCCCAACACAGAGCCACACAGGCATTAAAAATAGGTTTATCTTTAATGATCCAAGATTCTGCAAGACACACTGATATACCCAGAATTGGGTGGAAATACAGCATCTCAGCAGTGCTGCTGCCAGCCTGGGGATGGGAAGCTGGATGCTGGCTGAAGGACCCCCATGGTGAAGTCGATTCCAACCTCACGGGAGCCTCAGTGCCCTGTCTCCATGGAAACCAGCCTGGCACTGGGATGGGGCCCTAGGAAGCCTGCATGAACATCTCTGAGAGGTATTTCCTATTAAAAACAACCACAGGTGCCCTCCCCCACCCAGAGCTACTGCCCAGCTTCCCCTCCTCTCTGCCTCCACCAAGATAGAGGAAATGGGAGTGACCACCTAACAACAAACAAAAGCAGATTGTACCGCCTATTAGGGAAGAAAAACGGGAAAGGGCAGCAAGAGAGCTGCACTTCCAGCTCAGAATTCTGCCAAGACCTTAGGGTGACTATGGCAGATGGTGGTGCATGACTGCTAGAGGGCAGCACCACCCAAACCCCTAGAGGTGCCTTTGTTACTGGTAGGGCCACTGTTGTGGGGGGAGAGAAAGACAGGTCTTCAAGGCTGTGTCCTGCCCTCTAGTGCTGCCCAATGTTTGGACCAAAAGGGGATGGGGCCCAGGATGGCTCTACAGCTCCATACTCAGTACGAAAGAGAGGGCTCCCAGGATCTCAATGTGGTGTCAAGGACGTGAGGCCTACACTCCCTCCTTCCCACCTTGCTGGACTGTCAGAGCTCTGGGCTAGGAAGAACTCCAGGGACGGCCAGGATGAGTGGGGGGAGGAGACAAGAAAATTGTCTCCAACTTGGCATCAAAATGTTAAGTTCAAAGAATCAAAACCTTGATTTTTTACAGCAGGTTCTCCTGGCCAGCTCACAACAGCAGGCCTCCACCTACTCAGGGATGGCCCAATAAAAAGTTGGGCAAAGCAAGGGCCATGGCTACCCTCAGGGGCAGTGCATGGAACTCAGAAAAGTGAGTCTACAGGATGCAGGAGAGAACAGAGCCCACAGCTCTGCTTCTCTGACGTGTCCTCCATCGGCCCCACGTGCCCTAGGCACTGACCTCACACCTGCCTCAGGAGCAGCTTCCTTCAGGCTGAGTCCTGGCAGGGGAAAGTTTCCAGGCAGGTGTCCCAGAAGGAATATGGGAGTGTCCTCTGCAGGGCCCTGCCTGAGCTCTTCAGGGGATGGAGAGGAGGCCACCCACCCCTCATGCCAGGTGCAGTGTTCCCAGGTCCCTTTTCAAGAGGGGAAGAAGCCAGTACTCTGGACCCCGGGTGGCCCCATCTCAGGAATGACAGGACACTCTGCAGGGGTGGCGCATCCTGAGGCCCTTAGGCGCTGTGCATGTGGATGAAGGAGAGGACATCTTCCTTGGACAGCTTGTCCTGGTCCTGGGGCTTCTGGGAGTCATGCACACGAATGCCATCCCCCCACTCCCAGAAGAGCCGGCCATAGTAGCAGATGCTGGGGAGGAGGAGGAGGGCAAAGAGGTGAGAGGGCTGCACCCAGATGGAATAGGGTCAAGTGTTCTTAAAGGTGTGGGAGGCAGGGGTCTGTCAATGACTTTAGTTGAGGGTCTTCCCCCAGCAGCCAAAAGGTATCCAGTAGGCCCTAGCTCCTCCCTGCCTCCCTGAACCAACTTTTCCCAACAAACAGCTGTTGCTGCTAATTGCATCCAACTGGATTCCTACAAAGACTGATATTCCTGCTTTATCTGTCTGTGCTTCTCTAACAGAACAGTATTAGTAGTGTGGTGACAGAAAATGTCCGTGGCTAATTACAGGCACGAGGGCTGCTGGGGAAGCCCATGACCAACAATCTAATGGATACTGGGTCCTAAAAAGGGACAGCTGGGACCTTGAGCGCCAAGGGGCAGGGCTGTGGGCCCTCAGCATATTCCCACCATCAGGCCAGCGTCAGAATGTCACTGAAACGTGGCTGCTCCATGGAGTGAATATGCTGCCCAGATGGGTCTTCCACAGCCAGGCCCCCAGCTATCACAGCAGGTCCAAGCACCATGCCCGGCCACACCTGCAGGGGACTGCCATCCCCACAAAGGTGTTCTCAGGCTCAGTGGAACCGCTGGTGGGCAATAGTGTCAGAACCTAGGGTGTGCCCCGGGACAGCTGGCTAGCATCCTGCAGGAGTATTTGAGGCTGCTAAGGACGGCAGGCTCGGAGAACAGCTACTTACTGAAATGGGGCAATGGAGTCTGCAGGGAGGTCAAAAGTAGAGTCCTTGGTTTTCTTGTTGTAGAAGAACTTCCTCTTGAAGCTTTTGCTGAATCCCATAGTCCAGGGCTCTGATGGGAGCAAGAGGGGATGAAACCCAGAAGGGACACAAAGCACTTATGGAGGACAAGTGCATGCCTTCCTCCTCTCCTGGTGGTCCTATTCCTGCCTCCTCCCAAAAGCAGGCAGGGAACAGCCCATGAGGTGGCAGCCTTCACCAGCCCAAAGGGGCTCCAGGAGAATGACCAAGCAATGACTTCTCAATGACCCCACCCCAATCCTGCCAACCAGCTATCAGGGTAACATCTCTAGGACTCTCAGCCAGAGGGCTCTGAAGAAAGGGGGATGCAAATGGACAGACGCCAAGCTTGATTTTCCGGACATGCTGCTGTCTACTGAAAAGGCCCTTTTCCTGCCATGAGAACAACACGTGCGTATGTACAAGCTGAGCTCTCTCGCTACTCCCTACCCAACTCCCAGGACCCACGGAAGAACAGGAGAGGCTCAGGAAACACTGTCCCCTAACATGTACCTCAGAGAACTGCCAGCCTGGCTGCTACCCACCTTAGCAGGGAGCCCTTAGCTCTGGCTCAGGCAGCATCTGGGCCTATCACCTGATGGGGAGGGGGGAAGAGGGGAGGGAGTGGCGGGAACAGTCCCTCCTCACCCACCATTCACTGTCCTGACGATGTAGAGGCCCATGGGTACAAAATGCCGGTCATCACGCCCTGTGTAGCTGAGCTTTGGGGTGCCACTGGAGCCCTTGATGATCTTCATCTCCAACCTGATTTCCCCGAGAAGGTATGTGCATAAGACAGTGAAAAGGCCCTGGCTGATAAAATTAGTCTCCGGCTAATAAAATCACCCCAACCGTAGTATCTGATCCTGGTTTGACTTAAGATGAAACTGAGGCACAGAGCCAAGTAAGTGAGTAGCCATACTGGGTTTAGAATTCAGGCCCTGAATTCCCACTCAGTACAGGGGAGTAACAAATGACCCTGCTGTGTTGCTGCTGTTTGGGGGGTTTCAAGGTGACACCAGTAAGGGTGAGATCTGAGATCATGGGTGCCATGGCAACACTGCAGCCATGAAAGAGTTAATGTAACCTTCTCCACATAAGCACACCCAGAAGGAGACTGAGATCTGTGAGCACCAACACTAAGAGGACACATTTATGCCCCTTCTACCCCTCCAGGCTCAATCTCTCTCTCAGCACTGGGAGCTGGGATTTATGGTATTTCAAGCAGCTTGCTGCTCTGCCCCTCACAGGCCCATCGTAACTATGACAGCATCAACGGGCCTGTATTTCTGCCTGACACAGCCTGCCCGGGTCCCTTCTGACAGGAAGCTGAAGCAGCTCTCAGCCAGGGGGCTCTTGGCTGCAGCAGCACTGCAGCAAAGCAGGTGAGGTGAGGAGACCGCTAAAGCCAGCTCACTTCCCCACCCCTGACCCATCTCTACAAAATGGAGGATGACTCCAGGACACAGCCGCACCCCCATCTCCTCTTGACTCTGAACTTCAAAGGTCAAGTCACTCACCTGACAAAAATCTTCTCCATCTCTTCCAGTCTGTACACCTCCTTCACCCTGCAGGCAGAGGGACAGAGACAAGGCAAAGGCTTCCTGGGGGACATGCTCATCCAGGAGGCAGCTGGGAGGCAGGGGACTGCACCTGACCTTAGCTTTTGCCCCAGGCCCTCCCTGAAACCACCCAGCCCACTGGCAGTAAGGACACCGAGCCTGCCATGCAGCGATCTACACAGATAAGCCCTGGGTTTCAGGCCTGCATCAGGACAACTGGGGATTGCAACTATGGATACTAGAAGACAGGAGGGAGAAAGGAAGAAAAGTCTGGCAGACAAAGATGTCTCTATCAGCATTCCCAGCCCCAAGTCGTCTTCACCATCACCAGAGGGCAGAAAACCAAGGAGCAGGCTCTCGCCCTGGTCTGTCCACGTAGATTTTGGGCCTTCCATAACAAGTTACTGCTCAATAGTCCTAATAGTCCTACTACCCACAGCAAGGGGGGGACCCCGAACCAGGATGCAGGGCTCCTGTTTGATGCCCACGCTCCACCTCTGGGGGGCCCTGAACATATCTTTGGAACTGCTAGTGGGGAAGGTTTCCAGAAATCCAGCAACCAAACCACAAGCAATGAAGGCAAGGTTCCCCGAGAGCTGCCTTTCAGGACTTAGCAGACAGGACATTATTAAGTGCAGACAAATTCCTTTGACACTTTCACATGCTGTCTATAAAGTGCATTCTCAATACTGGATTTAATTTTAACTAAATTTATGTTAAAAAGGACAAAAATTATATTGGTGAAGTGTAAATAGATACCTTAGTCTCCACTGCATGAAGCCCCAAGAGCAGGGCTAAGCCCTTTGGCAATAACCTCAGACCTCAGCCTACCCTGGAAAAGTGTCCTCCATCTGTCTCCTCCTGATCCTGTTCTCTTCCTCCTTTCCTTCTCGGGATCCTGGAATTTTCCCACTATCTAACATTACAACCACCCTGGCCGCTGCCTTCCCAAGCACTGGGGGTCCCATTCCCTCAAACCATCCTTCTCTTTTTTCATGTTCAAAACTCCCATTCCCTCAGCACCCATTACTTACCTGAAAAAAATGAGAAGGCCAGGTGATGTACTAACAATGCCCAAGTGGGAACGGGTGATTCATGAGGTGGGCTGACACTCTGAGAAGCACGTGCATCTTAAACAAGGACACCTTAACCCCTCAGAATGCAATCCACCCACTGCTAGGCAGGATGGGGAGATGCTCTGGGGCAAGTTGCCTACCTAGCACCCCCAAACAAATTCCTCAGCAAGAACAGTCTTGTCCCTAACACCAACTTGCCTAGTGCCTTCCACTGAGCCGTCCCATCCCTCACTGGACGGGAGCAGCAGGTACTAGCCAGAAAGAAGCAAGGAGGGCAGGAATCACATGCTCACCTGATGGGATTCATGTCAGGCCGACTGGGCTTGGAAACGGCTTTCACAAATTTCTCGGCAAGCTGAATTCTACAATCCAAACAGTCTCTCTCAGAGGCAAGAAAGGATGCCTCCACCAGCACCCCTACTCCCAGGGTATTTTCACAGCTCCAGTAGGAGAACCTTCTGAATCCGCAGTAAGACTGCTCTAAGAGGAAGAACCCATGTCCCCCAGGAAGGCCGCCCTGCTCTTCTCGTCTTCATTCATGTCCCGTCCCTGTGGATTCTGGCCTCTAATTTCACTATGTCGATTGGTTTTCTTGAAGTGTGCCTTCACCTGTGCTCAGTCACCTCCACTAGAACTTCAAGTATCGTCTTTATTGTATGTCTGCCCTGTCACCCCAAACCGTGGACACCACAGTGCACCCGCTCAGATGAAACAATTTAAATGGGACCACTGAAGCACAGGACATTTCTTCCAAGGAGTACCCCCTCTTCCCACAAGGTCACCCTCTTGCTCAACCTTAATATAAATACCTCAACCTGAGCAGCTGTGGCAAAATGGAGTGTGCTGGTATCTCTGATAACCAGGGCCCAAGCCCTAGCAAACTCTGAAATGGCAACACCAATTCTCACCCTGACTGGCATCAACCAGTGGGTGGGTCAGGGGAATTCTCAGGATGTCAACAAGCAGAGAAGGCCTGAGTGAGGGGCCACACCTCAGGAGGCCGCTGTCCACCAAGCTGCCCTGGCCCACCCCCACCCTCCCTACCCTGGGGCCCAGGTCAGACCGCTGGTTAAAGTGCTGCTCCCGGACATCGGTGCCATTCAGCACAAGGACATCGAGGATATGGATGGCACTGATCTTCCGCTGGGCCTTCCCCTAGAAGGATAAGTAAGTACACTGCCCACTCGGCCAGGCGTCAGTCTTCAGCCCCCACTACCCACCATGGTATGTGGCTTCTTTCTGCCTACGGCTGGGGGAAGAGTAGGGCTCTAAATGCAGGATATTTCTCGTCTCCCTCCCAGCTGCTTCTCAGCACCAGATTGGCCTGGGCTTCTGAGCAGGGGAAGATCCAAGCCACTGGGTGATGAGGCCTTGAACCTCAAACCCAGTGAGGCTGCTGCCATGGCACTCCAGACAGGACCTGGCTTACCCCCCCTTGCCAACTGTTCCTACTGACTGTTCTGAATGTCACCATATAGATTTGATACTCATGGCTTCTGAGAAATAACAAGTCTCTTCTTTCCCAAGGGATATCTGGTTTTTAGCAAAAACTAAATCAGCTGCTAAAAAAATACCCAGTAGACTCATCAGGGTCCTCAATGCACAGAGACAACTGAGGTCTCCTTTGATGCACGGACACTGTGCTCCTCCTTACCTGAACCACTGTGGCTTAGAGCAACTGCTCTGGGAGGAGGAGTAATTATAAACACTTTCCCTAGCCCTGGGCCCTGTCAGCCACCACACAGTATAACCAAGTTAACTCAGGGCAAAAGGCCAGGTTCAGCAGCACCCCAGTCCCCTAGCTGCAGGGCTAACAACTAAGCAGAAGCATCTCTGACCTCCCCTTTCAGCTCATGCACAATTTCCACAGACAGCAGAGTATCCCGGGGCAGCTCTGTCTTCAGGTCTAGCTTGACCCAGCGGTCTGACTGGCGGCCATCCCACGTGTAGATCTGGGATTTCTACAGGCAGAGAGAAACAGCCGGGTAAGGAAGGCATGGCGATCAAGGGTAAGAGGCTTATTTCTCAAGAGCTTTTAGTTGGCAGCCTCAAGCTGATGGGATTGGGAAATGTCAGAAGAAAATGTCTATGAGAGATTAAATCAATTATACTTTAGTCATAATGATAGTAGTGTTCTCCAGTGCCTAAGCAGATGAGAAGCAGACATCTGGCTCAGCCTTGGAACAGGCGCAGGGCACCACTCAAAAGACCCAAGTCCATGATTAGAGGCCCTCAAAAATTCAGTTTCGTGTATGTCTAGGGTGGGTTTGGTGAAGGGTCTAAAGAGCAGAGGAGAGAGTAAGTAAAATGAGAAAAAGACAAAGTGTGAGAGGGCACAAAAGTAACTGAGGAAGACAGGATCAAATTATACAGAAACGTAAGAGTTGAAAGAAAAAGCAATGACTACCCAGCTAAGTAAGATAAGAGCTTGCCAAGGCTTTCCCTCACCTAAATTTTAGACTCTAGGGGGCCCAGGGTAGGAACAGGGAGTATCTTCGCAAGACAGGGGATGGCATGGGGTGGTGGTGGTACTGCAAGGAAATGGCCGCATGGGCTCAAGCCAGATGAGCCTCCTGACCATGCTACTAGCCTGGGAAGCTCTGTATCACAAGGAAAGTTGTAGTGTCCCTTTAGCAATGCACAGAGTTGAAGAAACAAACACATGAACAAATGAAAGAATGAATGAATGACACTTGGCAAACTCAGGGAGAAAGGAAATGAAGTTTCAAGAAATACATTCACTAAGTCAAAGCCCCAGCTACTTAGTGCCAAGAGAACATGCACCAAATGTGGCAGGCAGCTGTCCAGATTCCCACAAAGGGCAAATCCACCATCCCAAGCTGGGCAGGAAGCCAGCTGCAGACTTACCCCTAGGCCGATGAGGAACTTCTGCTCACTGCCAGACACCATGCAGCGGTAGTCAAACACAGGGCGGATCTTCTCCAGGGTTTTAGAGGTGAGCAGTGTGGGCTTGTAGCTAAAGATGTCAATCTCAGTGCCCTGCAGCCATGAGTCAGAGAACACTGCCAGGTTGGGGGGAGGGACAATATGGGTGCCTATATGGGCTGAGGGCAGGCTTGACAAGGCAAGCAGCACGAGCTCTCTGAAATATGCTCCCCTGCATCCCCTTCTCTACCTAACTGTGCACTAAATGGGATCTATTTCATTTCATCTGCTTGGAGTGTTCCTGTAGGACCTATTAGGAGAGGCTGGGAAAGGAAAGAACACTGAGTCCCCAAGTACAGATCGATTTACCAGAACTATAAGAAAATGTCACCAGAATATAAAAGCTGCCCCTTCAATAAAATTAAAAGCAAGGATTCCTCTGCAGTTGGTTTGAAAATAGTTAAGTGATCTCTACCCCATTAAGAAAAATGTACACATACTATTGTTTTGAGGCCATCTGAACCTCAGTCTCCAGTCCCTGACCCCCACAAAACCAACGCAATTGCCCATGATCTAGGCCAGATATAAATGAGGCTCAAGTAAAAGCTGGAAGTTGAGTGGTAGGAAGAAACAGGGCAAAAGAACTGAGGGCCAGCTCACCAGAAATAAGACAAGAGAAGCTGGGGTTAGACCAGCCCTGCTGTGAGTGTCCATGGCAGCTCCTTTCACCATGATCACTTCCCTAAGTGCCTAAGATCGTCCCACACTCCATGTCTCCTTTGTAGCAGATCCCACAGGATCCTGACCTTGCCAGGGTGACACAGCCAGCACCACCCTTTGGGTGGCTTATGCCTGGGAATAAGCACTGAAGATGAGAATCTTCTGTTGGCCTGACTGCTCTTGGGGAACTCAATACCCTATACCAAAGGTTCTCACTTGTGACAGCCTTAGCTCCAGTCCTTAGAGCCCATGAGAAGTTCCTCACAAGCCCTTGGGAGGCCAAGCATCTGGGGCCTCAGTGGTACCATCCACATCTAGAGACAGAACTCTAATTTTTTATGTCCACCACAGATACCAGTCTTACCTGGATCAGCTCAAAGAACTTTGATTTGGGGTCTGAGGAAGAAGGAGCCACACGAGCCTGGTCTGGGATCTGAAATAAGACAGCAAAGAGCTTTGACTCAAATGCCCTTTTGCCCAAGGCCGTGTAAGAGTGGATGCAGGTGGAGGACAGGGGCAGACTGGGGAGGAGGAATGGCATACAACAAAGGAGGCTCGGATGGCAGGGATGGAGGTAGATAATTCAGTCACTGTTCCCTTTTGGACCCTGTGGTAGTGTACTCCAAAGACTATTTCCTTTTCTCTGGGCTCTCTGTGGTCAGTGCTGCTACACAGAGCCACCAGTTGCAAAAATGACACCAGTCCACCTCCCCGCATCCCACCCCTTAGTCCTTTCTGACCCAGCTGCAGGGCCAAACCAGCAGTGAAAGGGCCAAAGAGGTAACTACCAACAATGCCGAGATGTCAACCTCCAGGGTACTGTGAGGGTAGCAGATATTTTTGTATGCAGAGCGACCCTAAGGCGACAGGATTGGGAGTCAATTCCATTCTTCTCTACAGCTTCCCTGCCCTGATGCAGCAATGGGCTGGGGGAAGACACTCACCCCCCAGAGTCGGAGGCACTCCTTCCGGATCTCTGCCTGCCGAGGCTCACTCAGTGTCCTAGGAATATGAAGCCAGTTAGGGATTAAAATCTCTAAGAGACACTGGAGGGCAGCCCCTGTGCACCCTCATATCCCATGGAGTGGAGGCCTGAATGAATGAACATGTGAGTGTACAGACACCAAGCTGCCACTGGCCCAGGGTGATTACAACACATGGAAGGCTCTTCTTTTGAAGACAGGAGCTCAAACATACATGAAATGGGATTACCTGCCCTTCTCACCACAATGGAAAAGGAGAAAGTGCCCTCCAGACCACCTGGATGCCAGGGTCCGCCCCGACACCCCTTTTCAATCACCCATCAGCATGTTCTAGCTCCTCTTCTGCTGACAGGGGTCACACTAAACCCGTCCCAATGGATTCATCATTCCCCACAAAGCTGAATTAGTATATGTTCACCCCTACCAGAGGTTTCTCTCATCAGTCCTGCTTCTCCTTTCTTGATCAGTCTTTACTCTGTGTCCCCTGAACATTATGTATTCTACTTGTGCTATTCCACTCTACACTCTCTGATGCACTCTTGATAACTTTCCCATATCCTTTTCCTGGGTTGCTCTTATCTGCCCAAAGACAATGTAAAGTATCTGGGGACAAGGTTCATGTCATATACTTCTCTGGCATCCTTCAGAGACCATCGCAGAGTATGAGATAAGAGCAGGTATTTTAAAATATTCATTGAAATGAAAAAAACAAACAGCTTGTGGGGAGGAGAAAAGCAAGATGTTCAAATAGGTGGATTCCGCAAAGTAGGCAACACTCACGTGTCTTGAACAAAGGCATGGATTTTCGCCAGAGCTTTAATTTGTAGACTACAGTGGCTAAAAGAAAAAAAAATTATTTGATCTCAGGATTACCAAAAAAGACAGGCAACTGACATCAGGACAGAGAGGTTAAGCTGGAGCAGTGGCCATCTGCATTTGGTGGAGGAGCTGGACAGTTAATTAAGAAACCCACACCTCTACCCCATGGTGCAGTTATGTGGGGCTTACTGAAGGCTGAGAGTAGAACAGTAAAACCAAGTCACTCAGTTCTTAGATCGCAAGTCTTACTAAAAGGAAGCTTCTGATCCCAATCTTAAATAATCTGAAAGTAGTGGTGAACTCATTCAAAGCCCAGATTCAGTTCAACGACAGACTAAGCTTACTCGACCCAGATATCCTAACAGCCACCCTTTCTACTTTAGTCTTCACTGTTCTTTACACACAATGTCT